TCCCCTTTGCGAGTCCTCACCCGTTCATCGAGAGATCGAGCACCTGTTAAGGTTTCCTTATAGGATGCTGAAGATGTATTCAGATTTTTTTCCCCTAGTTTTGCGACAGGAAAATGTGTCACAACATCTATTAATTTGTCGTTGGATTGAATTAATGGAGCTTGGATTAGTATTTAACGACGTGAGTTGTTTGAATTTGTTTTTCTTTTTCTCAGGCATTTTTTTTTCAATGAGGAGTGATTTCCTAACTATTTTGGGAACCATATTTTCATGATCGTGTAATGGATAATACAAAACTTACGCTGGAACTGGGACGTTGGTCATTTAAAAAATTATCTAAGATTATCAGATGATTATCTTATGTTATCGAGCAGGAATTCATCTAGCTCCTCAACGATCCAACAAAAAAAAACAATTTTCAGAAAAAAAATTCCCAAAAATTTTGCCCTAATAATCTGAAAAATTATCTTACACAATCAAATGGTCATCTGGTGACTCCATCCGGAAAAGATTAATCACAAAAATTGATCTTCACCTCTCAAAAAATTATTTGACATAATTAGATTGTTCATCTCGGGTGTTGCTGCTTAATAAAAAAAGATGTCCCGTTCCTCACAAAAAAATTTCGATTTCTCCCGCAAAAGAACAAATTATTCGTGAACTTGAACGCATCCACCCCCTAATTTTCCATCTCTCAGTATTTATCATGGGGTTTATCTCTTTGGATAACCGTTGAAAATGTTTTTTCATTTAAACTGAGTGAAAATAAATGAGTAAAGTAGAAGGATTCAACCGAAACCGTTTTCCCCCCTATTAAAAAGCAACCAAGAAAATTTTATTCCCAGTTTTCTCTCTCGTCATTAAAATCCCCAGGGGCCATAGCATATTTATTCCCCGCAGAAGCGTACACTTCTGGTTTACTTCTCTCTTTCTCCTTCCCCCTCCCCTCCCCTCTCCCTTCATCCCCTTATGTACCTCCTGAACCACTCGTGTCTCACTCTATCTGAGGTTTCGCTAGTGGTACATCAACTTGGTGAAATCACTTCTCCCGGTTTATTTATTAACTGGCGCCTCTGGAATTAAGCTGCCTACGAAGATGAGGAGAGACTAACGAAAATAACCTTGATTAAGGCATTGCGATTACATCGTTCTATGTTGGCATTGCTTTCATTATGAATTTTAATCAGATTTTTTTTTCCAAGGATATTTTGGAAGATTATCTGAGATAAGCAAATCGTTATCTTGTGTTCTCAATCTAATATTTTCTGGTTTTGTAACTATACAATAAACAATACCAATAAAAAAAAAATGTTGAAAAATTTTTAATTTTAATCATCTAAAAAATTATCCAAGACAATTAGATGATCATCTTGTATGTTCACCAGAAATGCTATCGACTCTTCATCCATACAATGAAGCGAATCAGTTTCCGTCAACAAAATTTCCGTCAAATTGTAATCTCAATCATCTCGAAAACTATCTGAGATGACTAGATCGTTATCTTGCATTGAATCTGAAAGTTCCCTGGATTTTCACTGTAAATAAAAAAATACTAATCTTGAAACATAACACCTCCCCAAAAAATTTCACCGCAATCATCTCAAAAAATATCTAAGATAACTAGAATATAATCTTTCAATTCCTCCCTGGGATTCCCCTGACTCCTCTGCCATCTAACCACGAATTCTAACTCATCTCGATGAAATTCCTTCCGTGCAATGTCCGCAAAATCAAATATCTAGTCAATTCAGATAAAATTCATGACTCTATTTATCGACATAATTTCAACTAAATTATCCACCTGGAATATGCCTTCATCGTTGAGTCTAATGAAAACCTCAAGCGAGTGCAAGGGAAGCGTTTAAATTGACAATTACCTTGCGGAGTTAAGATACCTCTCCCCCCTCCCCACGTCCCCGCCCGCCATGCATCTGATATCATCCAACGTCTTGCCAAAGTGTTAGAATGTAAAATGTATTCGTTGCAATGAAAAAGAGGTCAGTTTCGTTTCTCGAGGTTATAAAAATTCAGTAATGACAAGTGACAAATAAATAATGACATTTCTATTTACGAATTCATGAAATTTTTCATTTTGGAGATAACGTGGAGACGAAAAAATAAAGAATACTGTGAAATTTTTTTAATTGGAACATATTGCTATCCATTTCCATGACTCATTTATCAGTTTAATTTATTCTCTACTTATAGTATTGAATATTTATGATAATGGAGAGGTGGCCTTTTACTGGAATCAAGAATTTGTTGACTTCTGGGAAATGTGACTAAAAAATTCAATGCAATGATTCGATATTCATTATTGCGTGACGATAATACAGGAGATGAAGACCTAGTTATCTTAGATACTCTTTGAGATGAATAATTCAAAATTTTCAGCAGTAAAATCTCATCTTCTCGTTTTTTTGAAATAATTGATTTTCTTTGGTTATTCATCCAAATATTTCCCCACCTCCTCCCAATTCTTATCTTATCTTCAAATAAGATAAGATCTTGAATTTTATCTATAAATCTTTCATCATTTCCGTGTTCTATTCAGGATCTGTTCTCAATGGATTAACAATCCAGGAAAATTTCCCTATAGAAATACAAGATGATGATCTGATTATCTCAGATAATCGTCGAAATGATTAATCTCAACTTTATATCGTGAACCCGAATTTGCACATTTTTTGGAAAAGTAATCAGACACTGAGTTTTTATGGTATGTTTTTAACTAGGCATTCATCTGTTCATCTATATAATTTTCAATTTCATCTTAAAACGAGATAAAATACCTCTAATATCACACAAAACCTTTATCTCCTTCGTTCTCACGAAATCCACAATAAACTCACCTGAACCATGATTGAAATAGCGACGAGTCCCTGGCTCTTGTGCTGCGCCTCACTCATATTATGATACAACTCAGCATTGAATCCATAAACCTGGATCTGAAGCATTCGAAAAAAAAAACGGAAAATATTGCTGGCATTAGTTTTTTTGTCCGCGAAAGTATCTCATACACAATAGACCATTCCAAGAAATATACGGAAATATATCTTTATATTCGAGTGGAAGTGGAGGGGCACGATAAACCGAAAACACAATAAATTATCTGGCACTTTGTGGGCACCCGTCGAGTATGCTCAGTGTAGGAGAGGTTGGAGAGTTTAAGATCCCACTGGGAACGTTCTCTAAAGGATAGGGAGTATGGTGTGGCGGGAAGAAAAGGGGCGGGGGTGGGATGAAAATACCAGAGATGCGACGAGGCATGCTTCAAAGACTCGAGAAGGAGCGAAGAGTCGGGAGAGGAGGAGCGTAAATCCACTGCATCTGATCAAAGTATGACGAGTACTGCTGAAATAGGGGGAATCCCCTTTTTCATCTCCTATCACTCCTATTTCCTTCTCTTCTTATGCTACCACTCGCCTGTTGAGAATGGAGAATTTGTTGTGCGCAATTGAATGGCTAAATAAATTTCTCAGGCTATTTGATGTCATCTTTACAATTCCAGAAACAAATAGATAATCTAGTAAAATTATTTATTTTTTAAAACTACTGGTTATGTTGAATGAGAGGGCCATTCTTTTAAGCAGCATAACCAGATGACTCTTGGAAGACCCTGTAATTATCTGACGCCATCTTATCTTATCTTATGTACAAGATGATGTGAGATTTTTTTTTCAAGGCGAGAAAAAAATCGAATAAATTATCAATTTTTATTATCCCATCTTACAGATAAGATAAGATAGTATCTCTAGATAATTCATCAAGAGTAGATGAAAAAAATTAATTGACCTAAAAAATTCGAAAAAATTAGCCCGAAAAACTCGTCAGTGCATCATCTCTCATTGAATTGCGAAAAAAAATTGTTGAACCTCTTCATCTCCTGACGAAAAAGCCTCTGCTTTTATCTCTCAACATCTCCCACCGCAGAATGATTACGCTCCGGTGACGGCAAAGTGCTGTGGGGGAGAAATGGGTGCCAATAGAGATAGAAAAGCACCAGATTTTTTTTTTCCTCCTCATCGTGATGAGTAGGAAAAAAAAACTATACAAAATATTTCTCAGATAAAAAACAAATTGACATTCAATGCAGATGTTTCTGTCAATAATGATTAAGATCCCTTGACTATCAGGAAGAGAATAGAACCAGCGGCTACAATAATCCGAATATTTTTCGAGGCACAAAAAGTGGGGGGAAAAAAGAGAAGGTGATGAAGAAAAAAAAGTTGACTGCTAGCGGATAAGAAATTCCTGCAGATAGCTCTGGGATAGTATGTTCCCTTTGATCAGACATTCAGACAGGAGGCACAGAGAGAGAAACGAGCAAGAGAGGTGGGAAGTGGGAGAGGGGGGCGTTGTCCTGATAACACGCCCGTATATTTTTCCTTCGAAAAAATTTTACCTCCGTCTTTTTACCGGAAAAATATACGAATAAAGAAGCGCGAACTGACGAAGGGTGAAAGTAGACGAGTTGAGGGAGTGAAAAGAGCGAGACGGAAGGTTGAGATGAAGAAATATATAGATACGATGAATGCAAAAGAGGCTAGACGAAGAGATAGTGAGGATGAAAGAAGGCTTTGATGGCAGATAATGTCATCGATATTTCAAAATGGGCGTCGAAAGTCAATTGAAGAATTTGGAGGTGTCGGGATGACGTTAAGTAGCGGGGAAAATGAATGTTTTAGATGATTTGAGTGGTGGATCAAATAAAAAGTGGGAATGAGTGCTTTCAGAGCAGATAATTTTAGTAGGTTTTATATTTTTGTGGAGCTGGCATCCGATCATCCGAGGACTTACCGTCAGAGGGAAAAAATAGGTCTCTATGTCCTTTTAATCACCGGAGTCAAACAGATTGAACAATGCAAATTAGTAGGGGAAAAGATAACTCTAATAGGTTAAAGCCAATTACGTGACGAGTGAAGAATTTTGGAATTGTGGAGTTGACGTTAGACAGTCTCACTCCATGAAAATAATTAAAGGTGAGAAAGAAGTATTTGAAAACAGATAATTACAATAGGTCTCGTACTTTCATGAAAAAGATAATTTCAGTAGGTTGTTACAGATAACTTGAGAGTCGCAGAGGTATTTTTTTTAATCCGATGGTTCCCTGGCTCTTTCATACCACCCCCCAATCACAAATATCCCCACCACCGCGCAAAATTCCATTACCTATTAAAATCATTTTTTTCAAAAGTCCAAATCTCCATCTTTTCTATTAATAATTTGCCCAATCAATTGTACGAATAAATCCAAGAATTAAATTTCCCGATATCTCCATGTATTTATAGATGAATTCACCTCATTACTCCACTCAATACCCCGTGTACTTTTCTTTTATTCCCAATGGTGAATGTATTGAGTTGAAATTCAATTGTCGACAAGTGAATGGAAAATATAACCAACTACTCCATGACCTCATTAAAAACGAATTTAACTCCGATATCTCAAACTTCATTCCTCTTATTTACTTGACCGGAAATAAGTAAAATTACAGTGTTCCAAGTGTATACTATAAATATAAAATAATACATAAAGTTGGTGTTTGGAAAATTTTGCCTTGGTTTGGGATGGCCTGTGAATACGGAATAATGTAAATATAGTGAAACTTAAACCCAAACTTAAACCTCAACTCTCAGTGTCTATATGTATCTTTGCTATTCTCGGATTTACTGTGAAAGCCTCATTCCCCCCCCTCCCTCCTTCTC